ATTTGTTCACACTATGGGTCAGGGATGTTAGATAGAGGGTAATAGTATAGTTGTGTACTTCATTAATTAGCAGTTACTCAACTATTCTATAGTCCCCGGGGGCAGGACTAACAGCCAATGCATTCCAGCCCCACTCTCAGGGAGCCCCCCGTCACCTTGCACTACTGCCTCTGTATCAGAGGCAGCAACATGGGGTGCCAGGCAGGAGCCGATCTGAGAGGAGAGCCAATTTAAAAACCATCTGCCTGCCACCCTGCACTGCTCCCATCTCCCCACCTCCCCCCACTGCTTCTGATAGAAAGGCAGCGGAGGTGGGGGGGGGAGAAGGGTGCAAGTAGTTGACTAGATTAACTGATAAACAGGGCTTGAAAAATCAGTGAATCTACTCGCCTGTGGCAAGTAGATTTCAGCCGGTTGCCCCGTTCACCGGCAGCAGGCACATGAGCAATGCGGGTCTTGTGCATGCGTAGTACGGGGCTGGCGAGTAGATTTCCCTGCCTTTTTTAAGCCCTGCTGATAAGCATAGGCTTAATGATTAATAGTATAGTCGACTACTGATTTACATCCCTACTATGGGTTCTCCTTCACTGTTCATGTCTCTTGCCCTGCCTCTGTTCTGCAGCAGTTCCCAAACCCAGGCAGTATAACTGGTACCATTCTTCATATCCGTGGTGCCCAACAAGTTTGGCTATCGCTATAGCAAACTAGCCACATTCAACCAGCCAAGTGGCCACATGTAGCTAGCATGTTGGACACCACAGCTTTATATCATCCTGTCTCTAACACATCTTCTAAGAGCACAAGCTGAAAGGAAATGTGGAAGGGAAACACTATGTAGCTTCATGAACTCTCTCAGCAGATCTGCTTGTCTGAGCTCCAAAGTGGGCCATTTGCTTTGCCTCATGCTTACTCTGCCTTTGTGATGAGAGCTAATCTAGTGAACAGTAGGGATATTAAAATGTATTTATTTAGGTAAAAGCGTAGCCGCTGAAAAACGTGTAACACAGGAAACTGGCTTAAAAGCCTATCAGAGGCAGCAGCAGGGAGCAGGCAGGGGGAGAGCTGCTGCTCCAGGGGAGCCAGTAAGTGCAGGGACGAGCACTGGCTCCCACCCACCTGATACAGAGGCAGAAGCATGGATGTGGAAGGAGCTGCATGTAACCGTGCACATTAACCAATGAGCCCAGGCTATGTGGCTAGATCACCAGACATTAGCAGGTTAACAGTTTCCACTACTGATTTTACTCTGGATCTGCAGTGACTGCTTTGCTATCTTACTAGTAGCTGCCTCTTGCTTAAGACCTCAGTTACTGTAAGATGTTAAATAGGAGGATACACAGATCTGAAAACATGATTGGCTCTAGCTAGTTAATAACCTCTCCATTTGTCAGTTATGCCTGCCTCAACTGCCATACACAAAGTTACATGCTGTGCCACTTCTCTTTAGCAACCGAGGGGCAATTTCCATTCTAAACTTAGAATAAATAATGTATAGAAGCAGCCTAAAAGGGTAAACAGAGTCAGGCTTCCACAAATACAGACGTCACACTTGCTTTAAGTCTTCTGAGGTTACAGTTCTCTCTGAAGCTAGGAGCTTTCCCTCCTACACCAAATGATCCAACTTGCCCGATTCTTATGATCATCTCCTCATTTCTTCAGAGGAGAAAGACTTCAAATATTAGCCAACTCATGCAGCCACTAAAGAAAGGAGTGGTTTTGGGTAGTGAATGAATCCATCTACTTCTTAACACGTATGCGAGGCGAACGATCACATACAAGATCATATTTCTCCCTTCTGCTGCAGAAAACTGCTAAGCAAGGATGAACCCATGGCAGCGGTGAAACTCAATAAAAGCCCCTCTTCTCTTACACCAAGACCCAAAAAAGCACACCAGGCACCAAGAACAGGCTGGAAGTAACAGCTCATCTGTTCTTACCTTCAATTTCAATCACCATTAAAAGTGGGAGCGATGTATGGGGTATGAAATGTTTTTAAAATGCCTCTGGCTGTAAATGTACTTTTTTTCCTTTTTTTAATTAAAGAAGTTTCACTTCTCTTCTCCCCACCCACTTAGTGTAACTTTCCAGCTGAAGCATGAGTCATCCATTTCTCACTTCACAGTCTTGGATGAAGACAACTGGAGATGTATGCCCACAGTACTGAAAGTCCAGAGACAGAGAACATGGACAGTTGCCATTTCACATCAAGCAGCTGTCAGCAGGCTGCAAAGATAATCTGGTTTCATTTTTTGGGGGGGGG